CTACTAGTAGCGGGGGATGCTTGTATCACCCCCTCTAGTAGACAGCTAAGGCCTTAAAAAAAAAAAAAAAAAAAAAAACCCTTCAAAAAAAAGAATAGGCTCTTCAGAATTGAACCGACAATGAAAACCCACAGTCTTTGCATCGCGATTGGACTCTGCTTCTTTAACGGCTCCCAGAAACCTCCCATCACCAAAACCAGGTTTTTCCGCAGATCACTCTAGACTAGGTTCTGTAGAAGGATCTTGCGCACACTCAGACAGCATTTAAGAAAAAAAGTATAATCCCTGAAACAGTTGGCTCACTGACCTTGACCCTTCCAATTGCAAATCCCTGTACTTCACGGATGTGAAGATAAATTGCCAGCATTTTCCAACATTTTACTAAAATCACCAATGTGTCTTGCAAACTCATGGCTGCACACCCTAGCATTTTCTACCTCAAGCACCCTCACTTGGGATCCAATTCTATCCTGTTCCTCTTCTCTCAGCGCCAAAAGTGTCTCGAACTTCGTCAGTCGTTTCTCCTGCTTTAGAGGAAGAAGCTGCAGGTTTGCAACCTTTTCTTCGAGAAGTTTGAGATCTTGAGTGAAGGATTTTGCTTTCCTTTTTCAGTCAATTTCACTTCCTCCACCAAGCCCTTTACCTTGTTCTTGGGCAAGGGCAACCTCAGATACGCCATTGGTATCCACTGCGTCCATCAGTAAGCTCATGCGGCGCTTCTTTTAAGGGAGGTCCTTCTCTTTACTGCTTTGTTTTTCACCACCCATGGCATTTTCACATTTGGCACTGCCATAGCCATTTGCTATCCGAGAAGGCTGCTTGCCTACCTTTCCAGCTTCCACCCTCTTTTTCTTTCCAACTTTCCATGCTCTTGATGACAAAAAACACTATTTTCTCTAGCCTCTGTACTAAAAAAGTGAGGACCAACTACGTTGTAACATATACTCTACAAAGAACACCCAACAACCATGAATTGATGATAGACTGCTTAAAAAAATAAGCCCACTACAACAAACAAATTATCATAAAAATCCAGGCCCTGCTTCGCACCTCGTCACACACAACAACACAGCTAGAAAAAAACAAAAAATGCCAAGTGTACCAAAGAACCAAATTGTTTCTCCACTTGGCATGCTTTTCAATGAGACACTGTTTTGGTCTTGAATGAGGCTAGAATTGTTGTATCCAATTATCACAGTTTGCCCCCCGCCACATGCACTAGGAGATGATAGGTGTTTCCCGGTGTGCTCTAGACTATATTCATTCTTCACGGTGCTATCAAATACTTCTACAGGGGTCACCTGAACAGTAGGGGTGACATTCTTCCCCTGCTGTATTAACTTCGCTGGATTCTCTGAAGTGTCCTCACTATCCTTTTCCATAGACCTTCCATTCAGAGTTCGCAGATCACTTCCAGGCTTCGTCTCTGCTAATTCCTCTCTGAAGCTGAGTCTATTAATGTCAATTTCTCTTAGCTTAAATATACAAGGAGATGATGGTGATTTTGTTGAGTACTCTGGACATCCCGAACCAGAAGGGCTAGCATTCTTCACTTCATGTAGATGCTTTGTCGGATTTTGCAGAGCGTCTTCATGAGATTCCTGACTATTCATTTGACAAAGACAATTTAAAGATATTCACCAGAGGTCATAGAATGGAACTCCACAACAAGGCGATGTTGACCTAGAAGCTCAGTCTTGAGAAACTGTGTCAGCTTACTTCGCCAAAAGTTGACAAAGCTCCTCCCGACATTGCCTAAGCGACAAGAGTGATGAATTAATGGCAGTACTTTCTTTCGCCCGCCGTCCCTCATTCTTTGTACGTCTTTCACGCTCACTTCCAGCAAGGTCGACAAAATAAATGCGTGCAAAACTTTCCTCCAACGCCAAAGTTGCCCAGGTGCAGTCACTTGAGATGCTGACGTTATCACCTGCTTCCATCTCCTACTCTTCCTATCAATGGCTGATTGCTGATGTTCTTTGGGCAACTGCTCTGGGCGGAGCTGGATACTGACAACACAGTGGCCTCGACTTGAGCACTTATTGACTCGAGTTTCTTCCACTTTCCTCTTGGACTAACAAATCTTAAAGTTGGCTGCACAGGTAAGACTTAGCAAGTCCTTCACTTTGTTATCGTTCTTATTCTCCATAGTTAATTCACACATGAAAATCTTTACAACAAGATTTTCATTGACTTCAGATTCCTCTTTCTTCTTATGCAGCGACTGAAAAACTGTGTGAAGAGTGCAAGGGATCAACCCAGGCTGAGTCTCATCCTAACTTCCAAATATTGTATAGGACTTCTCGGCATTTGTGACCCCATCAGGCAAAAACACCCCACTCTCGAAGTTTTCAAACAACCTCTATACGAGTGGTTCCACAGTAACTTTGAATGCCTCCGCCTGTGATGTTCACGTGCCAAGGACTCGAATCAGTTCATAGGAAACATATTGACTCTCTCTAACGTTGTTTCGCCATGCTGCAGATGACCGAGGTGCATCGAGCCTTACATTGTCTCCCTCAATATGTACGCAGATTTCCTCACTCCTGTCCTCATCCGTGCTCTCCCTCAAAGATGAGTCAGATACTGCATCTACACCAGTGGGGATTATCACCTCCATTGGGGGCCTAACTCTGACCATCACCCGCATTTTTTCCTTTGTTTCCTCTTCAGTGACTTTGCTGCGGTCGGACTCTTGAAGGTCCTAATTAAAAGCCTCTTCCATCAATTTTATCATGTCACTTCTGGCCATCGTCGACAACCCTGACAAAGATGATGCCGTCACTACGGTCATCCATGTCTTAAATCAGCCCCATGACACTTAAACCTTTTGCGCTTGCAACTCCCTCTTGTGTTGAATGCATGGGATGCCGAGCCATGATCGGTGATATTGAACGAGTTTTGCCAGACTCCATGTTTACTTGGCCGCCCGACAGTCTGTAAAACATCAGTGTACCGACGTCCACAGGCCATTGTCAGATATTTCTACTGCGGGATGGCCCGCCCTCCCATCAGAGCACTAATGCTGCCAGCAAATGCATCCACTCTGTTATTTTCCTTGAGGTGTTGACAGCGGAGCACAGATCAATCACCTTGACCGAACACATTTACCTCTCATCCAGCCCCTTCTCAATCATGTCATTCATACAGAACAAGTGGTATGCAGAAGGACTCCTAATCCAGTCACCACTTCCTTGTGTGCCCTCATCTCAGCACAGACTCTGCTTGAAATCATGTGGTTCTAGGTGATGATGGATCAAACTCTTCTCTCTTCATACAGGCAATCCCGCAGCTAGCGATTGGCCTCACGCTACTTCCATCGATAGGATGAGCAAAATCGAATGGCTCTTTTGCTAGAACATGGGAATATACACTGCCACTCTCGTAGATTCAGTCCACAAACCCGTGCAACCTACCGCCCGGCAACCACAGATTCCAGCCACGGCTTGCTGCTACTTGTTGCGATAGCACACATGCGCATCCGCACATCTGTTTCCGTTCGCGAAGTTCGCAGTCGCAATTTGGTTGGGCCCGCTCTTTTTCCCAGCAGCGCTCGAACTCGTCTCGGCAGCCGCCTTGCTATTTAGGAAGTCGCGCACACGCACTGAGAGAGAGAGAGAGAGAGAGAGAGAGAGAGAGAGAGAGAGAGAGAGAGAGAGAGAGAGAGAGAGAGAGAGAGAGAGAGAGAGAGAGANAGAGAGAGAGAGAGAGAGAGAGAGAGAGAGAGAGAGAGAGAGAGAGAGAGAGAGAGAGAGAGAGAGAGAGAGAGAGAGAGAGAGAGAGATAGTCGCCATCATTGTAGCACGCACGGAAGGCAGCGGCAATGACGGCGACTCTCTCTCTCTCTCTCTCTCTCTCTCTCTCTTTCTCTCTCCCTCTCTCTCTGTGTCTCTCTCTCTCTCTCTCTCTGTCTTACAGGCACTCTTTGTAAGTGTCGAAGGGAATGTATCTTCCCGCTTTCACGGGAAGATGCATTCCCTTTTAGCATCTCTCTCTCTCTCTCTCCCCTGCCCGTGAGGAAGCACTACCCTCTTTTTGGCGATGCATTTCTTGTTTTTCCTTTTCTTATTTCTTTTTCTTTTTGTCGTTTTGTTTTTCCCCTTTTTTTTTTCCTGTTCTTCACACGTAGTTTCGGGATGCCTGCGCCCGATAGTCTGAGCCTCGACCCGGATCGGCATACACTCCCCTCCGACTTCCGTTTATTTGGCTTATGCCCCTCTGACGACTGCCTTACCCTGTCGTGCCCCTGGGGCCTCAGAAGTTTCCCGCAGGCACCTGTCAGCGAAGGGTGCAGCTGTCCAGCATGCCCTTGTGGCCGTTGGGGGCACTTGCAGCCGTTCCCCTGCCCCTGGGAGTGGAGCCACCGGGGCATACTGGAAATTTGGAACTGGAAATGGTAGGGCCATATTGCACTTGTTTTTCCGGCCCAAACGATGCCAGGGGTGTTCTGGAAACTTCAATCGTTGTGAGAGGGACGCGACAGGGTACGTGGGTAAGTCGGCCGTGGGAAGGGCATACTGCAAATAAATGGAAGTCGGAGGGGCATTAATATTTCGTTTTTCCCCCGAGTAAAAGCACGTTCGGATTTGTTTTTGCAAATAAATGTCGGAGCGGCATTTTTTTTTTTCTTTTTTTGCCCGAGGAAAACCACGTCCAGATTTTTTTTGCCCCATCCAACCCTCTTTGCTCGTTGGACGTCGGCGTGGGCAAGGTCCCACTTACACGAATTAAGCGATATTGACCGTAGATAGCAGATCCCCCACAACGGCCAGAATCTCTTAATCCGTGCAAGTGGGACCTTGCCCCGGAGTGTCATTCATCACAACGATAAATTGAACTCGCTCACAGACTGGTGGCACACGCTCTCAGCAATACGGGTAGTGATTTGTGAGCGGCGATGTCTGATACGCCATGTGAACAATAGCTTGCTTGGTCCAGCGGAAGAGCTTCTGAGAGGTGATTTGCCTTGAGTGCTACTGGTTGCAGTAGCGTGGCGACGGGTTGGAAAAGGGTGGGCATCGGTTCTACTCGGTAGTGCGACACGTACAGCCGTATCTATTTTCTGTCGTCCTTCCTTCCCGTTCGGTTCTTTGCTCCGTGTTGTGATTTCTCTGGAGAAGCTCGTTGTGTCGACGAAGACTTTATACTACTCTCGCCGCTCGTTGTGTCAAGAACTGATCCAAACTGATTCCTGTTTGGCGACGATAAGCTCTTTCCTTACGCCACGTTGCCGACAGTTCGGTCTTCCACATACAGACACACACACAGAGAGACAGAGAGAGAGAGAGAGAGAGAGAGAGAGAGAGAGAGAGAGAGAGAGAGAGAGAGAGATGGCTTCAGAGAAGGCACGTGCTGGAGCAGAACAGATGAAGGAGGCGGCGCGGGAAGGATACGAGGAAGGAAAGGGTTCTGCGCAGGAGAAGTACGAGCACGCGAAGGGGACTGTCGGTGCCAAGACGGAGGAATCCAAACAGGCTATGGAAGAACAGAAGCAGCGAGCAGCGGAATCGATGCAGGAGCAGCAGGAGAAAGCCGCGGGCGCCATGCAAAGCCTGAAGGAGAAGGCAGGAGCAGCTATGGAGGGTCTGAAGGAGAAGGTCGGGATGGGGGGAGGAGGGGCAGGAGCAGGGCAGGGAGGGCAGTGAGGAAGGAAGCAGAAGCGTTGACTCCTGCGAGCCATAGGTCAACGACATGGGTAAAGAAGATCTTCAGTGCCGGCATCGAGTCTCAGGCGTGCAATGAATCTGGTCGTAATGGAGGTCACATTCAGATAAGCATAGCTTTTATAACCGTGGGGTAGGGGGCTCAGTTATCCTGTTTGAAGCTGATCTCCAAACGAGGCGCAGCAGATGCATTCGCTCCGGCGGATTTGAGTCTTAACGTTGCCATTCTAATCTGGTCAGAGTTGCGCAGTGGAGCACGGAGGGTTCTGAAATGCCATGGAAACTACTTCACATTTTACAAGCACAATAACTGCGTTCTGGACCAGATGCATTCGCACCGGCGAAACCCGTATTACGTATCGAGGTCGTTTTGAGGTCCAGATACTACTTTTAGAGCGTCGTAAAGTTGAGCGAGGCCATGGTATAATTGAAATTCCGAGGCTTATAAAAGAATGAGAAATAAATAAATAATTGGCTTGTAAAGGTAACCTCTGCTGTCGATGTGTAAATTCCAAGGCTGTATAAAAAAAAAAGGGAAATAAATAAATAATTGGCTTTTCTCTGCCGTCGATACTGATCTGACGCGTGGACGGGCAATCAGTCCCAATAAAGAAGCTGTGAAGGCATCATAAATTTTTTTTTTTTTTTTTGGCTAATAAGCGCACTTTACAAAGTATAGCTTTTCCACTTTTTTGTTGCTGTTGGGGGGGGTGTTAACACACAGTTTAATTAGTGTAATACTGTTTCAGAGGGAGGGAAAAAGACAAAAGTGTATTTGTCCGGATATCGTCGAAAGTGCAGCAGCGTAGTATATTGGGGATAGCGAGAGGAGGCCGTCTCCAAAGGAGCAGTCTCTCTCTCGAGGGACATGATTCTCTATATGGAGAGGAGGATAGAGGAGCCATATCTTGGGGTGGAGGCTTCGTCCGTGAGGTTGTGCGGTCCATTATGCCGACCATTGCTTGTGCAGTGCATGTAGTCTCTCTCTCAGCTCAGTTGGTGGGTAACTATTCTATTCGAGTGCAAGTTGGTCGACGGATGCTAAATTCGGATTGCAGACAGGAGCAGCGTTTGATTGTGATATCTGATGGTCTGGTTTAAAATCGAACAAAAGAACAAGTTGATTTAATAAGGGGTGTTGTGCTGTTGAATAGATGGGGGGGTTGACTGATGAGTTAAGTAACCTGAAGTTGTGGACCAATTTGGAGCTGCCTGGAGTTAAGGAACGTGTAGTGTGGATCCCTGGAGGTGGACGGATATCGGGGGCGGACGCGGACCTTATTCGGATACCGACCGATTTGGAGTTGTCCACACCGTCGTTATATACCAATTGGAGTTCCACAGACATTTGCTGTTTTTTTTTTTAATAACACAACGAGCGGTACACGTCTTTGCGGTTGGCCGGTGTGAGGGGAATCTGAGAATGTAATTTGTATGAAAGAACCACGCTCTGTATTTCCTACCGTCGTCACCCGAATAGAACGCCCGGTCATTATAGCTGAATCTGGATTGAAAATTCCACCAAATACGGCTATAATGACCGGGCGTTCTATTCGGGTGAAGACGGTAGTTCTCTGATCTGCTTTTGATTGTGTCCATTCGCCTGCCCACCCGAGCTTTGCCTCCGGACTGTGTTACGTGCACATAGCTGAGTTTCCATTTTTTGTGTTGTCTTTTTTTTTTGGCTTGAAGTTCTGAAAGGTCTGATATGTTTCGTGTGTAATATATTACACTTTGTGATCTATGATTTCGTATGCTAGCGCAGTTGTCACGTGCCTGATGGGACACGTGGGAGATGACTCGTGTCTGATGAGACACGGGAAGGGTGACACGTGTCCCACCCCGCTCTTCGGCCCACCTCTGTTTGTTTTGGCTTTTGCTATCTTCTATCTGTGCACCATCGCTGGGTGGAGAGCTAATACTTGTTGTCCCGTTGTGGTCCCGGATGCTCGTGACACCTGGTCGGGCTCTTACAACAGAGCCACCTCTGCGGTACCAGATGCGGTACCAGATTGTGTCCCACCGCCTTCAGCTTGATCCCCTCTGCGGTACCACATCCACGTGGTACCACAGGGGATCAAGCTGAAGCGGTGGGACACGTCGCTCCGGTGCCACGTGGCACTGTACACGTGTCCGTTTCTTTCTTTACGTGTAACCAGATTCACGAGGTTCCTCTCCCGTATCTTGCACCTTGATCTCCGTTGCGGTACCAAATATATGTGTCCTCTTTCTTTTAACTCTCGCCCTAATCAGATCCACGTGGTCCACCCCTTTCGTACGCCTCCGGAACTTCAATTTCTTTTTTTTTGTGTTTTAGTTTGTCATTACTGGTTGAATTCCACGTGTGCCTCCGCTTTGTCGGTGTTCTTTTTCTTTTTATCTTTTTAAGGTACTTGTTATTTGCAGAACATTGGTCAAAGGAGGCCGGGAATCCTCCACAAACCAACCCCTTATGGGCGTCGTCGCACTATTCGCCATCCGCCGACATTTTGATTGCATGTGGACATCATGTTGTCCAGATGCATTTGAAATCTTGGCGGATGGTCAGCGGGTGCAACAGGGCCCTATCTCGTAACAAAAGAAATGGGATCTTCACCCTTAGGTTGAGGCGTCAGAAAGACTTGATCACATTTGGGATAGCAGAACAGCCTGTTCCCTGTTCCCTACTCCGTCCGTTTCGTCCTAATCTGTGGTATCCGCTTGGTACGGGAGCGATGTCAGCGTGGAACGACGTCCACGTGGTACCGGATGCATGCGAATCCACGCGGTACTGGATTCACCTGGGACCGGAGGCACGTGACACCACGTGGGCTTGCAGACACGGTACCACACCCACGTGGTAAGGGAGGAACGTGGTCGTGGAACCACAGCCACGTGGTACCGGAGCAACGTGGCAGAACATCAACGTGGTACCGGAAGCACATGCTACGGCATCCACACGGATCTACGCGGTACTGCAAGTATCTGGTACCAGATCCACGTGGTACCCACGGGGGCTAGAGCCACATGGTACTCCACCCACTCGCAATGCTCGACGTGTGTTGTAGTACCTGACCCAGGTTTCCCATAGCTCCACGTGTCCGTGTTGTAGTACCAGACCCCGGTTTCCCATCGCTTTCGCGTTGTTCATTGCCTTATGTGACAGTCTACGATCCATCTGCACTCGCCTACCAGGAAAAAAATAAAATAAAATAAAAATCCACGTCTATGCTCTCTTCATTCGCCGTCGCTCGTCGTGCGTGTGCTCCGCCCCTCTCATCTCTCTTCCCACGAGGTTGGCGTTGACCCCCACCCCACGCCGGCCTCTTTGCACCTCCCTGTAGTCAGACCATCGCTGCGGTCGCCATTCACACGGTGTCACTGTCGATATCACAGCTCGATATCCCAGAGATGTTTTCTGTCGTGAAACAAACAGAAAACACAACCTGGCATGTCCATCTCTGCAGCTCCCATGTTGAAACGCTATCTCCTTAACACCATGGTCGTGGACGTCAGCTTCTCCTGCGCCTTCGTTGTCATTACTTTGGGTCCTCCGGGCCTCCCGATCCCTGCCAGCTCAGCTCCTTCGGGCTTTGCCCTTTCATCGCAATCACAGCCGCGACTGTTTTTCGTTTTCGTCTTCCATTCTCATGTGTACGTCTCGAGGGTTGTGTAATTATTGTTGACATCAGCCTCAATTGCGTATGTTGAATGCGGACGAGGAGAACACACCCATACGGCTGCCTTCTTTCTTTTTCTTTCTTTTTGTTTCTTTTTCTTTCTTTTTTGTGTCTTATAACAATTGGACAATCTCTCGATAATCTCTCGATTTATGCCTGTCATCGTCACACAGGGCCCATGTAGCTAACCTCTGTCTATATTATAGTGTACACAACCAGACCAGCACGCTCTGGATTAGCTTTCTTTTTTTTTTTTTCTTTTTTTTTTTTTTTTGTGTTTTCTGTTTCAGTTCATGGGAGTGCTGCCTGTTCCGTCACAGCGATCTGTCTCTCTCACGTCCGATCTTGTCTGGACCTCATCCGGTGCTTTGCCGTCTCTCTCCGTTGTTATGCCACGTGTCTTGTGGCGTAAACGATTCGTTCACCTGCGTATTGCACCTACCGTCTTTATCCGTATAGAACGCCCGGGCATTACACCGGTATCTAGACTGAAAGTTGCATCGAGCTCAACCATATTCTGCACATCTCGACAACCACGTCTATATTCGGGCGCTGGGGATTTTTTTTTTTTTTTTTTTTTTTTTGGGAACTGGGGAATTTTTAACTCTGGTAGTGAGACAACGGCCCCTGGTCTCGACTGAGCTGAACACTCAAGAAAAAGAAAAATGGGAGACATTGTAAAAGCCTCCCGTGACGAAACCTTATTCTTCATTTTCCCCGAAACGGGATAAAAAGTACCGCACGTCCCAAACACACACACACGCACACACACACACACGCACACCCTCTTCCCCCTGTCTCTTATACACATCTAGATGTGTATACGAGACAGCACACACTCACACCCCCTCTCCCCCCCCCCCCCTCTCTCTCTCTCTCTCTCTCTCTCTCTCTCTCTCTCTCTCTCTCTCTCTCTCTCTCTCTCTCTCTCTCTCTCATATGCACGCGTGCGCAGAGAGAGACAGAGACAGAGGGAGTGCATGCGCTTCCTCACGCGGATGCGTGCTCATGCATGCGTTTTTTTTTTTGAAATCGATCAATCAATCCATCAAGCTGCAATCGGACTCGACTTATTCACACTTCTCATGCACGTGAACAGCAGCACACAACTGGCGACTTGCGCCCACACAGTACACAGAGATATGTCTTCCAGGTAAGTTCGCTTCCATTGGCTATGGCGACTGTGCGCCTCAAACACTCACTGTTCACACTCTGGATCACCCTGGATGTCCCACAYGCGATACTCAGTACACACACACAGTACCCACACTCTTCCCCTAAGCTACAGCTATGGCGGCTATGGCCGCCACTACCCTACTGCTRTGGCTACGATATGTCACTCTCGCCCACTTTGTCTTCGGGCCTTCTGCAGACCTCCTCGCRSAAGCTGCTGAGGCAGCGCTTCCGCATGGCTTCCGCAGGAATGAATGAATGGCTGGGCGCAGCCTCTTGATTTATACTTCTGTGCTGCGTTGGTCTGCCCTGTACCCCTGGCCCATCGTGCACACAGTCCCWGAYGKTACTTGCTGGACTGGACYGGACTGGGTGGACTGGGACTGCTGACTGTACTAGGTGGACTASCACCACTTGACCACTTGCCTCTGCTGAACGCAGGCTCRCTCCGAAAGGCCACTTCTAGAAACCTCTGACTTGGTCTTTCGGTACTGTAGCAGCTACGACTTTGCCCTTTCAGGTAAGTAGTAGCTACAACCTTGACCCTTCAGGGAGTCTACAGCTACGACCTCTAAACTGTCTAGACTCCTACCCTACAGGTCTACAGTTCGAATTCCTTCTACCCTGTGATCTACGAAGAACTACCTACCATTGGTGGTCCTACAGGTAGCAGGTTCAAATCTACGGGTTGACGCCGGTACTGTACACAGGTAAGACGGGGAACTAGGGACCGAGCCCTGGGATCTGCATCAGCTACTGCGAACTGGTGAATACCGTTTCACTCCCGCCGGCCTAAATTCGAGGTCCTCCGAGAAAATTTCAGTCCAGGCAGGACCTTTACCTCTCTGTTGTCTCTCGTAGGCCCGGACTATATCGGGAGCTGTCTCTAGAAGTTCAGATCTCGTAAACCAGCGGTCATCTTCCGGTTTTTGATAGCTAATATCTTCCATCCAAATCCGGTGGGATCATTGATTTACGGGATGGAAACTGAACACTTGTCTGACAAGGTAATAACTTCGATGCATGGAAAACTGGGTAAGTGTGGAGGTGTGCTGGGAGTTCTGTGGTATAGGACAGTCCATCTTCGCCGCCCTTGACTTCTAGAACGGGCCACGGTCCTCTATATGTGGGCAGTAACTTTTGCGAGATGTTCTCCTCAGGTGCAAACTCCTGAGAACTGACCCAGACTAAGTCGCCTACTTGAAACTGTGAGGGGCGAGGATGTTTGTGCGCTTGCTCTATCATCCTATGCTGGGCCTTCCTGAGGTTCTCTACAACAGTAGCTAGTTCTTTCTCGTGCTGTACAGCAAACTCCCTGGTCCCGGGCGGTAATCTGTGAATTTGATCCCGGTTGAGTCCCTCAAACGGTCTGCGCGGCCTAAAGGACTTGTGCAGTTCGTTGGGAGTGCAGCAGGTGGATAAATGCACGCTGTTATTATACGCACTAGCTACTTTAGGCAACATCTCATCCCAGTTAATCTGATGTGGCCTAATGTACATGCGCAGAACTTGCTGTAGGATCTTATTCATTTGAACTGTCTGACCGTTAGTCTCTGGATGGTGGCCGGACGACATCAACAACTTAGATCCATATACTCCCATGAGTTCTTGCCAGTTCTGGCTAGTAAAGCGACTATCTCTATCGCTAACTATAGATAGTGAGATTCCATTCTCACTCACCCAACAGTCAAAAAATCTATATATGACGAAATCAGTACGTGCCTCTGAAGGCAAAGGAACAAAAACTGCGTACTTACTAAAACGGTCAACTATGACTATGACTTGGCTCTTACCATGCCTACTATTGACTTGAGTGTCTATGAAGTCGATGGACACTGAGTCTCCCGGCTGATCCCGAATGGGCAAGGGTCTGAGAAGACTTAGCGGGGCGCGCGTAGAACTCTTGTTACGCTGGCAGACTTTGCAACTGGGAACATACTCTACGCAGTCATTCTTCATTCCTGGCCAGGTATATGTGCACATCAGATTGGCTAAAGTCTTTTGCCAACCAAAATGACCCTGTGTCGTGGCATTCTCCCAAAATCAAACTACGAATCTCTTCACTACTGGGAATGCACAGGCGGTCAAATACATTAGTCTTCTCGAAGAGCAACCCTTCAGTAGTGCGGTAGTTCGGCTCAGTCTATGGGACCTCCTTGACCCTCTTAAGGAGGTCACTATAGATAGGGTCTTGCGCATAGGCTTCTCTAATCTTCTGCTGCAGGTCCTTCCCTATATCTAAGTAATGCACTATTGCCCCAAAGTAAACAGCTCTCCTGCTCAGAGCATCCGCAACTACATTATACTTTCCTTTAACTGGTTTGAGCTCAAAGTTGTACTGATCTATCTTTGCGGCCCACCTAGTAAGCTTAGGTGTCATCTTGGCCTGCGTCTTTAACCATCTTAATGTATCATGATTGGAATAGACTTTGAAGTGTCTCCCAAGCAAGTAGTGCTTCCAATGTTCTAAGGCTTGCCTGAGAGCGTAGAGTTCCCTCTTATAGGTAATTCCCGCGACCTTCTCTGAAGGCATCCTGACAGACATGAACTCTACGGGTCTATAACCATTGCCATCGTCTTGCTGCAACACCGCGCCTATGCCGTACTGGCTAGCATCCGTAGTRACGACAAAAGGCAAGGACGGATCGGCTACCTTAAGGACTGGGTACTCTATCAATGCCTACTTCAATTTCTTCATGGCAGACGTGCAGTCGTTATACCACTTCCAGGTGGTCTCCTTCCGGAGTAATCTGCGAAAGGGTGCAACGGTAGTGGAGAAGTTCCTCACGAACTTCCTATAGTAGTTGGCTAGGCCTAGAAACGACCGCAACTCTGTTACCGTACGTGGCGTAGGCCAATCTCTAATCGCTGCAATCTTACTATCTTTCGGCCAATCGCCGTGTCCGTCTAAGACGTGGCCTAAATACAAAATTTGGGTTTTTGCCCAATCGCACTTCTTTGCATTGATCTTGAAATTAGCTTCCCTCAGCTTCTCCAAGACCTGCCTGAGATGACCCTGATGCTCGTTGAGGGTCTTGCTAAACACTAGGATGTCATCTAAGTAAACTACGACGAATCTGTCTAACCATGGCCTAAACAAATCATTCATACACCGCTGGAAAGTTGTTGGCGCATTGGTTAGTCCAAAGGGTATCACTATGAACTCATAATGCCCGTACCTAGTCCGGAAGGCTGTCTTATACTGATCATCAGGGTGTACCTCTATCTGATGATATCCGGACTTCAAGTCTATCTTGGACAAATAATTAGCCCCCTGCACTCGATCTAAGAGATCGTCTATCCTAGGCAGTGGCTCAGCATTCTTCACTGTAATAGCATTCAGACCCCTATAGTCTATACACATTCTTAGCTCTCGCTCTTTGTTAGGAACAATGTTAGGAACAAAGAGAACAGGCGCTCCAAAAGGAGACGAACTGGGCCTAATCCAACCCTTCTCGAGGAGCTCGTCTAATTGCTTGCGAAGCTCCTCTAACTCATGCGGGAACATCCTTTACACAGCACCCTTAGGAGTTCTACTGCCAGGCTCTATCTCGATACGGTGCTGGATGGGCCGCGGCACTGTGCCTGTCGGCGGCTCAATCAAATCCTTAAACTCTTCCAGCAGCTTGGCAATTGCAGGGTCCATCGGCCTTTCTTCCGTAGGCTTAGTCACTGGCCTAACATAGGCAACAAAGACCTGTTCCTCCAATTTCTCCTTCTTCACTAGTCTGGCGAACGCAGGGGCACTAAGGCAGCAATGCGCCAAGGAATTCTCTACTCCTGACATATGGAACAGGCGGGCAGTCTTAGCCTCGCCTGAAGAACTAGGGAGCCTACACTCGTGCTCCTTCAGATGGAGCGTGGCCCCGGCTGCCTCTCCCCAATCCATTCCGAGGACAATATCAAATGGGAGGCTGACTTCTATGAGGAGAGTCAGGGAGTGGAGAACCTTCTCCACTTTCCCATCCTTCTCTAGGCGAAAATACGCCTGGACTCCCTCAACGTAATCCTCTACAACCATGGTACGATTGTCTGCGAGGATACTAATTATAGGGTCTGCTAGCTTTCGGACCTTAAGTCCCGCTTTAGCTTGTGCAGCGATTTCTTACTTATATAGTTGCGGGTGGCCCCTGAGTCTACTAGGGCCCCTACTCTACCTCTAAAAATCTGTGTATCTACTAATATAAGTTGCCCTTTGTTCTCCTTTCTCATCTTGGCCCAGGCGGGCATCCTCTCCTTCAACTCTTCGGCCACGCCTGTGAGGGAGGTGTCTAGAGAGACTCTAACACAAGCAGTCTGTGGACAACCATTTAGACACCGGCCTGCAACCTCTGCCATAGGCACATGTGGTGTGGGAGTCTCCTGCCGGCTAGTGCTATGTTTCCCTCATGGCCTAGTGGTAGGGGCAGTTGCTACCCCTACCGGCGACTGCCTTTTGGCCCTTGAGCAGCCGTTCGGGTCTCTCGATACTTAGGACATAATTTGATGATGTGGCCCTGGTCACCGCAGAAAATGCACTGGCCCCGGTCCAATCGTTGTTGCCATAAAGTTTGGTTCGGACCCAACGTTTCCCAAGGCCTACCCTGCGGTAGCCCCGGTTGCCATCCGCCTACCCTGTAGGGAGACCTATTCCTAGGATGGTTTTGCGGGGGACCTTGACCCCTGCCTCTCGCTTGGCGGTTTCCTCCTCTGCCGCCAACCCCCTGATCGCCCTGGAAACGCCCCCCTGAGGCCTGGCGCACTTGGCCCTGGCCTCGTCCTCCTCCTTGCGGCCTCCCTCTAGCTGCGATAGCAGCGTAAGTCCTCCCCTGGCCCACGCCGTTGTCCTCCTCCTCTAACCCCCACTCAATCTGATCGTAGGGGATCTCATTCAAACTACCCTCGTCTAGAGTTAGGAGAAGACTATCCTTAGTCTTCACCTTCCCAGAGATAGTGCGGCCCTTCCATTGCTTCCCCTTATCCATATCTTTGTGCCAAAAGGTGGAGATTGTTACAGACTTTGCCTCGAAGGCCACCACTTCACGGCTAAGGGAATCGTAAGTGGTGGCAGGGTCTTCGCTCTTCGCGAAGAAGTGCCCGCAAAAAGCTTCGGGCATCGCTCTATAGAAGAGGGCAACCAACTGGGTGTCTGTAACCCCGTGGTCAGGGACAACTACTAGTTCGTCCATTGTGCTCTTGAGTGCCCTGACACTCTTCCACTTACGGGCATGGATCGTTTGAAGCTTGTTCGAGACTTTGACACTTCGAGGGACATCAGGAAATCGCTCGCGCAACAATTTCATGAACTTAGTGAGGGAAGTGAACGAGGAATACGCAACTGGATCGTCACTGCAGTTGGCAGCGCGAACAAGGGACCTTGCGAAACTGGCGGCCTCATCTCTAAGTGCGTGGATCGCAATTAAAACTTGTTGATCTGGGGAGACCTGTTGCAGATGCACGTAGGTCTTGATGTTGGCCTCCCAGTTGTCAAAGTTCTCTTCCCTCTTCCCACTGTAGGAATCAGGGAATTTGACCTTGACTGGCTCCCTACGCGAACGTGGTTCCTCTTCGTTGGGAGCTGCCGCCTTGACGCCCTCAATGGCGCCAGCGTAGAAACGTTCAGTCTTCTCGAGGCGATGGTTCAACTCGGCTCCTATCGCGCCTACCAATTTTCGAGCAAAGTCTCGAAACCCTATTTGCATTCAGCGCACAGCCATGTCCTGACTTCGACTAAAATCGTACTGTTGTTCTTGCACTCAGGCTAAGTGCTCAACACTCAAGGCAATGAGTTGTACCTTTTGCTCGAGGTCTACCTGAGGGGTCAATCTTAACGTGAGTTGTTGCACCTCCTCCAGTTCCTGGACCGATTCACTCGCCGCGTCTACTCTTCTCTTCTTCTCCCTCATCATGGCGAGTTTTCACTCCATCCTCGTTTCATCTTCCATCGTCTGCCGCTTCAAAACATCTCCTTCTGCTTCCCATTTTTTTCATAGCGGCTTTCTGGTCCTCCTTGGGGATATACATAGTTACTTCTTCTTCTTCTCCCAGGGATAAGTTGGGGACCCATTCTGAAATCCGTTTCTCCAACTCTTCACCTTTGCTGCCAGTGTACTGCCCTTTCTGCCTTTGCAGTGGCTGGTCATCTTCCTCCTCTTCCTCCTCTTCCACCTCTTTCAACTTCTCCTGTTATTCTTTCTTTAATCTCTCCTTTTCTCTAGCTATCTTCTCCTCAATCTTTTTCAGTTTGGCCGCCTGCTCCTCCTTCAAGGCCTTCTTCTTGGCCTCCTTCTCCTTCCTCTCCTGCAGGATGGCGGGCATCTTCTCCTACTCCTCCTTCGTGTAAGGTTGGGTGGAAGTACCACCCCGAGTCCCTATTCTACACGTGAACGTGGGCCAGAAGCCCAGAGGAAAAAGGAGACGCCGAAGGGTCCCCCAGAGGGAGAACCCAACGAGCAACCCAAACATCAGATAGTCGTCCATCGTGGTGTTAGGTGCACGACAAGGGTCCCACTCCTAACCACTTAGACCTACCCGAACACTGCCCCACTGACTGACTCCCTAAGATCCACTACTCACAACTACTCTAAGGATGTCACTGCTAAACTAACAGCTGATCAGGAGGCATTTAAGGAGATCCCCCAAACTCCGCAAGAATTCTTTAACGTCGCAGTCAGGACGAAGTGATCGGCGCAGTTCTTCCTGGCGATTTCAGCCCACAACTCAGCCGTTCCAGCCTACTGTGCCACACCGAGAAGCCCGCCGGTCGCTACCTGTCCTTGGAGGGGTTCTTGTCCCTCGGGTCAGTCGAGTCGTCAAACACATATCATCAGCCTTACTGGGTCCTGTAGGGGAGTGGTTCAACCAGGCCTCGACACTTAAAGACGGCCTTCGTTTCAGCCTACAGCTCGGAAATCGGACCCTCTACACTGAACTCAGTAGACCTGCCAGACTTTACCGGTCATTGGTCTAGACGAGTTATTTAACGAGTGCTCGCCGCTCATGCCCAGGTCTCCAGATGCCAGAGTAGAAATTAGTCCTACTAAGTCCCGTGCAGGTTTGGCAGCAAGGCCCTATCCTTCATCCACAGAGTCCTAACACCTAGGACAGAAGAGACTCAATGCAGAAAGGAAAGACAGACACACTGGTACTCAGCAAGTACCGTAGGGTGAGTGCACATCCACAGGGTAAGGGGATAGGCTAAGGGCTCAGCGAGATATCACCAACTCCATCTTGGTCAAAATCTTGGTCAGCAGCTTCGGTCAACGCCTTGGTCAATGCTGAGTCAACGCGGGCAACCCCCAGTCAACGCAGGCAACCCCCAGTCAACGCTTGGTCAACACCCTCTGTCAACGCCTGGTCAACGCCCGGTCAACCCTTCACCTCGGCTATGGCTGCCGGCACCTTCACCTTTGTCACCCTCGCCGCTTACTTCCCCTTCCGTCACTCTTCTTCTTCTTCACTTTCTCTGTATTTTTTTATTTTTTTTTTGTTCACCCCCGGCTATGTCTGTCTTCTTCTTCAGTGTCCTCTTTCCACACTTCTCCTTCTCTGTCCTCCCTCTCTCTCTTCTTCACTACCCTGTGTCGATACTCCGCGGCTATGGCCGCTATCTTCCTTCTCCACCGGGCCACACAACTCGCCTCACAGGTAAGTGACAACCAATCTTGGATCGCTCATCTCTCTCTCTCTCTCTCTCTCTCTCTCTCTCTCTCTCTCTCTCT